AGAGCATTTTAGGGTTTTTTACGTTTTATTCTCTGTCTATACTTAGTTGGCATGTAATAATTGCTAAAAGTGGGGTGCAGAACATAGATCTCGAATTTAAAGACTGAACCACATTGGGAAAAAATCAAAGGAGCTAAAGCACATGAAGATTTTGCTTTTAGGGCATTAACACAATTTTACCAAAATCTTCTTCTTATGGAAAATTTTATGGGAGAATTTATGATCATAATCTCTCGCGATACATTACACGGTTTACACCCAATTATAGTATTAAAATGGTCAGTTGATAAGGTCCATGCTAATTATGGGCGTATGAGCTTTCACATCTTGCAACGTCATCATGTATTACATAATTATTAGCATATTCAATTAATTAATCAAACCTCGTTTTTTTCTAGGGAAAAATGTGTCCAGGCCCTAAAAACAGAAACTTCATGTGCTGCAGCCCCTCCTAGTTTCCCCCATGTGGTTCAGCCCCTTGAAATGTGATATTTTATACTGCAGCCCCTTTTTAGCAATTATTACATGCCAGGTAAGCTAAAATCCCCAAAATAACCTTATCCCCTCTCCTCAATCCTTCAAACCTAGTTCTCTCTCTCTCTCTCTCTCTCTCTCTCTCTCTCCCTCTCTCCTCGCCGTCGCCACCTCCGCCCAGGCACCCAAGCCTCCCCCGAGTTCGCCGCCGCCTCCCCTCCTCTCCTCCGCCCGACCTCGTCGCGATAGCTCGCCGCCGCTCCCCGTCTCGCCCTCGACTACGCCGGAGTTCGCCGCTCCCCCTGCCACTTTTGAACCCTATAGTATGGTAGGCCGGAGGAGGATGACCAAGAGAAAAGAGTGCATGATGCCCAAGAAAAGTGAAAATGGAGGGGCTGCAGGCACAAGGCCACTCTTTTTTTTTGATAAATTTGATGGTGGCATGGCACAGGGTTTTGGTCTGCGGATGCCCACATTTTCACTTGAAGATGATAGCAGAGAAAAAAGTTTGATAGTTCAATTCATTTAGGATAGTTAATGCAAAGCCTTCATTCATAGCGTCCTCTAGTTTGGTTCCTAGTCTCTGATGAGTACTGATATGTTGTAATTTTGTCCCAGTTTTTACCCCTACCATAATTTTCAAGTATTCACAGCTATCTTATCAATTTGTGCAGAATAATCGAATGTTTAGGTGAAATTTGCCTGTAATCCTACGCAAAATGTGGCTCTCTTGCACTGTTATGTATCTTGTATTCTGATGGGCTCAACCACTTTTTAGGCTCTTCTAGCCCTGACATAAACAAGAAAGCTTCAACTTTTTTCCTCTTTGTACTCTCTTGGGTTTCAAAGAAACATGGAAGGTTTGGGGAGAATAATTAGCATTTAGCACTTACCAGTTTGCCTATGACTCATCCAAAGCAGGACCAGAACTACTCAGTTCCTGTTAATCAAAAGTTCCAAAATGACATTTTTCTTGTAATAAAATTAGAACTAACTTGTTATAACATAAAACTAACTTAGTATAAAATAGAACTAACTTGGTATAAAATAGAACTAACGTGGTATAAAATAGAACTAACTTAGTATAAAAATAGAACTAACTCTGTAGCGTGTTAGTTCTAATCTACACAGTGTTAGTTCTATTTTGTAGCGTGTTAGTTCTAATCTACACAGTGTTAGTTCTATTCTGTAGCGTGTTAGTTCTAATCTACACAGTGTTAGTTCTATTCTGTAGCGTGTTAGTTCTAATCTATACCACGTTAGTTCTATTTTATACCGCGTTAGTTCTAATTTATACCAAGTTAGTTCTAATTTATACCACGTTAGTTCTATTTTACACCGCATTAGTTTTAATTTATACCACGTTAGTTCTATTTTATACCACGTTAGTTCTAATTTATACCAAGTTAGTTCTAATTTATACCACGTGCTGCAGCCCCTTTTTAACAATTTATACCCCTTGTTAGTTCTAATTTATACCCCTTGTTAGTTCTAATTTATACACTAATTTAAATGCAAAGTCAATTATGAGTGGAAACTATACATCAGGAAACTATACATCACTTCCTAACTTAAACACTTTCTTCACAAACAAATATAATTTTGTGTTCCTTGGTGAAACCTAACTTTCAAATCTATACAGAAATTTACATGTACAAATAGACTACCATATTATTATTATTTCACAAGTTTTGTACTTTAATGACCACAATTTTGCTGCACTAGGTGTTCGGAATGCTGACAAAGCCTTTGATAAGGCTGCTTCTACCTCCGGGTCAAAAAGGCATCACTGAGAGCTTTACATCAGAATTCTCAGCCCCGCTCCTTGAGAACGTACCGGGATTTGAAGCCGAAGGAGGAGGACAGAACCGTAATTTATTCCGTCCTTCAAGCATCTGAATGCTCCTCAGTAAACCAACTCACACTGTTCATTACTACTGGCGGAAGTTCGATGATGCCTGCATGCGTCCAGTATTTGGAGGAAGAGGGTCTGTTCCTTTTGTTCCTGGATCACCAACAGAACACAGTTTTCATGGATGAAAGTGAGAAAAACAGAGACTGAAACTGGCGGAAAAAGAAAGAAACCTGGTTCGATATGATTTGATTTCAAGGGGGAATTAGAGATTGGTGTGCATGATTTTAGTATTTATAGGAGATTTTTCGTGTGATTTTTTGGTGTGGCTAATTGCGTTCATTGATGTCGAAGCTACCAGTTTTGTATTTTATACCATGTTAGTAGAACTAACACGCTACAGAATAGAACTAACACTGTGTAGATTAGAACTAACACGCTACAGAATAGAACTAACACTGTGTAGATTAGAACTAACACGCTACAGAATAGATAACACTGTATAGATTAGAATTAACACGCTATAGAATAGAACTAACACTGTGTAGATTAGAACTAACACGCTACAGAGTTAGTTCTATTTCTTTACAAACAAATATAATTTTGTGTTCCTTGGTGAAACCTAACTTTCAAATCTATACAGAAATTTACATGTACAAATAGACTACCATATTATTATTATTTCACAAGTTTTGTACTTTAATGACCATAATTTTGCTGCACTAGGTGTTCGGAATGCTGACAAAGCCTTTGATAAGGCTGCTTCTACCTCCGGGTCAAAAGGGCATCACTGAGAACTTTACATCAGATTTCTCAGCCCCGCTCCTTGAGAACGTACCAGGATTTGAAGCCGAAGGAGGAGGACAGAACCGTAATTTATTCCGTCCTTCAAGCATCCGAATGCTCCTCAGTAAATCAACTCACACTGTTCATTGCTACTGGTGGAAGTTCGATGATGCCTGCATGCGTCCAGTATTTGAAGGAAGAGGGTTTGTTCCTTTTGTTCCTGGATCACCAACAGAACACAGTTTTCATGGATGAAAGTGAGAAAAACAGAGACTGGAACTGGCGGAAAAAGAAAGAAACCTGGTTCGATATGATTTGATTTCAAGGGGGAATTAGAGATTGGTGTGCAGGGAGGCTTGGGAGCCTGGGCGGAGGTGGCGACGGCGAGGAGGGCGAGGGCCAAGACGACGAGCTTGAGAAAGCCCTTGTTTTTAAAGAGAGAGGGGAGAGAGAGAGAGAGAGAGAGAACTGGGTTTGAAGGATTGAGGAGAGGGGATAAGGTTATTTTGAGGATTTTAGCTTATCTGGCATGTAATAATTGCTAAAAAAGAGCTGCAGCACAAAATGTCACATTTCAAGGGGCTGAACCACATGAGAGAAACTAGGAGGGGCTGCAGCACATGAAGGTTCTGTTTTTAGGGCCCGGACACATTTTTCCCTTTTTTCTATTGACCATACTCCTAAAATGTAAAATTATAAATATTCATAAATTTTTAACAATAAATTTATCAGACTAGTATGTATTAATAAATTCCCAAAAATACACTACTGACGGAAGAATTGAAGAAAAATCTTTGGACTGGCGTCACGCGCACGCGTTTCTTTCCTCCCACCGCCCTCTCGCACTTCCTTCCTTTGCGAGCACATATTCCACGTTGCCTATACCTCCCCGTCAACAAAGTTTAGTTTTGGTCCCTGATTTTACTTTTGGTCAAACAAATCTTTATTTGCACTGTACAATTTCTAATTTTATACATCGTCTGGTATTATAATTAACAATCATATTTTACATCGAAAATTATTAGGATATTTGGGTACCTATACGAAATCACAACAACCTATAAAAAAAAAATCAAATTTGAAGTTATAATTCTCTTGTGTGGTTTTCACAAACTTTTCTTTGAGGGGACCCCTAAAATCATTTTTATCTTTGTTATTGGAAAAAAAATGTTTTCCTCTTCAAATAGTTAGAAGGGGTCTTTTCTTTTTCATGCCAACTCTAGTGTAATTCAAATCTATTTATTATAACTTTTACTAACATATACGTAGCAAATATCTTTTTGTCTAAAATATCAAACCAAAAATTCTTTTCATAGTTTCACACGACCTCTCGAAGGTAACTCTATCCTATGCATAGACTTTCTATCATAAAGGGATTTTTGACAAGATTGTGACCGACCGATCACTTAGCAAGCGTGGACTGGCATTAGAAGACTAGATAGTTGAGGGTGATAAGTAATACTAAAGATATACAGAATGCATATTGTGCAAGTTACAATAAGGTGAATTTATCGAAGACTCCAAGGGGCTTTTCACAAACGTTTTATTACGAAAGGTATCGGAATGGAATTTTCCCTTGCAAACAAAGAATTAATAAATACTTGCGTAATCTCTGAACAAAACCCCACCCGTCCTCCGTAGCCGACAACAACACCAAGAAGCAATCGCAAAGACTTCAGCTCCTTCTCCATTTCTCTATCTCTCGCGGTATCTTGTTCCGTCATTCTTATCCTGCTCCGCCATCTACAAACTCCTCATGGACTCGACCCCCGCCAAGAAATTCCCCCAGTTCCTCTCCCGATCCTTCACGTACCACCATCACGGCCCGTCTCGGACGAAGCCACGGTCCTAAGCGCATCGCCGACCGACTCCTCTCTCAAAACCATCGAAAAGCCCCGCGGGCCGCCGCCGTCCTCTACACGACCTCCCTCCGCTCGATTCGCCGGACCCACGAGGACTGCTGCTACGTCCGCAAGCATCCTCCGAGGTTCCGAGTCGCCGTCGACGAGCGCGACGTCGCCATGGACTCCTCCTTCAGGCGAGAGCTCCAGTCTCTGCTGCCAAAGGCGGCGCCTTTCTCGCTCCCGCAGCTGTTCGTTGGCGGGAAGCTCGTCGGAGGAGCGGAGGAGGTCAGGGCCCTGCTCGACTCCGGCGAGCTGGTCAGGGTTCTTGAGAAGGTGAGGAGGGTGGACCCCACTTTCGTCTGTAGGAGCTGCGGTGGGGCCCGGTTCTTGCCGTGTGGGGATTGCAGTGGGAGCCGAAAGATCTTCGTTGAGGATGAAGGGAGGTTGAGGAGGTGCGAGGGGTGCAATGAGAATGGATTGGTGAGATGCCCTAATTGCTGCTCTTCTTGATTCCAAACCCTAATTGGTTAAAAAATTTGGGATTTTTTTTTTTTTTTAGTTTTTTTGGGTTATTGGGTGTAAAAAGGGGTTTAAAGATATTGTTTTTTTTAAATGATTGTGTGATTTTAGTTATTATTCATCTACTGGATGGATAATTATGCATGGTGTGATATTATTGTTAACAGAGGAATTATTTAGAAATAAAGTGGTGTTTGTAAAGATTGTTTCAAATTGGTAGTACTGATGGGAGTTGATTCTTGTTGCTTTGATGATTTTTCATGCAACTTTTAGGGTTCTTGAGCGTAATGAGAGTTGATTGGTTAGATGCCCTAACTTCTCATCGAATTCTTTCCAAAGCCTAATAATTCATGGAGAAAAGGGGGAAGTAGTGATTTTTTTTTAATAAACTTTTTACGGAACTTTGGTGAGAATAGCGTTTTTTTTTTATAAACGTTTCGGTTATTTTTAAAAAAATGTGATTTTTTAATAAATTTTTTATGGGTCTTTGGTGACAACAGTGTTTTTCAGTAGGTTTGTGTGAATGTGGTGTTGATGATGATGATGATGTTTGTAACTGAGGAATTGTTAGAAATAAAGTGGTGATTGATTGTAAATGAATATACTCTGTTCACTAGTTTTTGTGTGCATTCGAGAATCTTGATTGTTTGTTTATGTGTTGCACAGTTGAAATTTCATTCTGTTTTGTTGATAATTCAGCGTTGATCTTGTTACTTTGATGATTTGCATGAGATATTACAGCCGAGCCTGAATCATTTTTTTAAACATTTATTGCAGGCATTGTAGTTAATTTTGTCAGTCATTGCTTGCGCTGCACTTGTTAGTTTGTTTGCGTTTATGGCTGTTTATAATGAGAATGGATTGGTTGGGCGCCTTAATTGCTTTCTTCTTCTTCTTTCTGAATTCTATTTGTTGAACAAATTTTTTGAACTTTAATTTTTTTTCTTGGTTGTGAAAAGGGATTTAAAATTATGGTTTGATCTGATTTATGTTCTTAGTTATTCATCTTTCAATGAATGTATGTGTGCATGGTGTGTTGTTATTGATGATGATGATGTTATTAAATGAGGATTGATAGAAATAAATTGGGGTTTCATAAAGAAATTAGGATATACTATCTGTTTACTTGCCCAGTTGGGTATTTATTCTGCTTATCGTGCATTTGTGTGTTGATTCTTGTTATCTTGGTGATTTTTATATGATTCTTGTTCATCTTGGATCTTCTGTTTGAATATTTGTGCTTGTATCTTTAGAAACTAGAGAGGTGCAAAATGGATGAAGGAAGGATCTACGCAGAAGTTTGAGGAAAATGTGCAGGAGAATTTAAATGTTCTACAAGGTGACCATAGATGGTAGAGCTTTGGGAAATTTAAGAAATATTCGGTTAAAATCTTCTTGGAGGTTTTTTCTGAGTCCAAATTCGAAATGTATCGTTAATATGGTCTGCATGATTATTGGAGTTTACAGTGCAGTGAACCCATCAAGTTCTTGTACTGAAATGTTTGGTAGATAAAAGGCAAGTGATTATACGAGAATCAATCCTGTGACTTGGTCGCTTTGAAGCTACAACTTATGAAGGTCTCAGATGAGTAGGATCACAATCATGGTTGTTGATGTCCAACATGTTTTTTCTACCGTCTATGCAGAAAACCCTGTGAATAGTTTGTGTATTTGAACGAGATTTCACCTAGTAGTTACCGAAGAGGAGTTCCGTATGCATTGTGGAGCGTGATTGCATTCTCTGAATGATTGAGAATGTCAATGGGACATGCAACGATGAGCAATGCCTCTTTTTGAGGAGTTTATACATGCGCGAGGCTGATAATTTCAAATATGAAACGTTCCCCGTTTGCTTGTACGGATCTTGTTCATCTATGTTTTGTTGCTTTTGGATTAAAGCGAAGCCAAGTAGTCCTAAGAGTTCAAAACCTTGGGATTGAAGTTGCTGGTGTTCGTAGACCTTTCGGCTTTAGACATTTTGTTAGGGACCAATTCCTCTGGGGCCAATATATAGCGATGGAAATTGATGTGCGCTATAATGATCCATGGGGTCCTCTTTTGCTTCTTGGCTTTAGTTATATATATATATATATATATATATATATAATATATATATATATATATATTATATATATATTATATATATATAATATCCCCCAGTGTCCTTGGGATTATCTTTAAGTATACTCCACACTCTCCTCCGTCTGATTCCTTGATGTTTCCGGTAAAGCATCGACGATGAGAAATATAGATGTTTGAGACTTTTGTTCAGAGGTTTGGATACAGCTCCTGTGTTGAGAAAGGTGCAGAGAAATATTGACAAGGTTTGACAAACTTTGGCCCATTCTCTGCTACTAGCCCTGAGCATGTAGGTTAACATAATTTAATCCCCCTCTTCTCATATGTTGATAATTGTTTTCTCCCATATCCGGCCGAAAGCTAGCAAAAGTGAGATCTCTTGTCTGGGCACTGAAATATTGTCGACGAAAAAGCTGGCCCATCATTTTTCCTCTGTGGATGGGAATGTTTGTGTAAAAGTGAGAGTTCTCATCTGGCTACCGCCTTTTGATAGCATCTCCTTCCCCCCCAAAAAAAAAAATAATAATAATAATAAAAGAAAGAAAGGAAAAAGTTAATTGCAAATAGGCCCCCTTACCGTCCCGAAATAGAACTTACTATTCATGTAGCTTGGTTGTTGCGGCCAAACGCCCAGGAAGCGTTCTGTTGTCGCAAATAGACCCCCAAGTGAGAACCTCCCGGAGAAGAATTTAATAATAATAAAAAGATTCACTACTAGGATTTATCTTTAACCATAGAACTATACAGGTAGCAAGTTCAATTTCGCAATAGTACAGGGGTTTATCCACAATTAACCCAATGAAATATGCACCACTTACCTTTCACATAAACTCCTTTTTTTTAAATGACGATAATCAGCAATACAGTAAGGAGCCAAAGTCTTTAAGAGATGATAGAAGTGAAACGAGCTGCAATGATAAATCACTAACGCCAAACATCCTCATTTCTCTGAAAGTGGGATGCAGATGACTAACTATGCAAGTATCATATTTCTACCAGTAACTAATATCTGCATAAATCTCGTACGATACAACAATAAGAAAGAAATGGGGCTAAAGCTAGCAATCCACATGACACATGAATATACATACTGATCTGAATCCACAATTGTGTTACAGGACTCATATATCACTAACTATTGACTCAGGGGAAGACATTCTAGCTCAATTTCTAACTCACCTTTGTCAACATTTCTAAGTTTAAGGGTGATATTTTGCTTAACCTTGCCATCAACTAGGGAGATTATACTGTCCTTGATTAATGAGTTGTCATCGGAGGCTACACATTTTCCAAGGTGTGTAGACTCACCAATTGTGGAGGTTTCAAAAGCTTTCGCTGCTGCGACTAATGGCTGGATATCTATCTCTGCCTCTCCCATCCGATCATCGAATGTAAATGTGTCCTTATCATACACTTGCTGTTGATGCAAAACAGAACATAAAAGAGTAACCATGAGAACATCAACAATACGAATAAATAACTAATAAATAATAGCTATTAGGTCCTCCAATTCTTAAGCAATTTGAAATTAGCACAACCCCACAAAACCACCAACCCCACAACAAAATTGAAGATTAGCAATCCAAGCGTTTTATTTGAGACAACTTACAAGAATTGGGACCTAATAGCAATTTCAATGATTTGAGGGACTAATTCAAAATATGAAAGATATAAGGGACTAATACCACAAAAAACCTAATAATTGTTTTGAGATAAAAATTGTCATTATTATTATTAGCAGTAGTAATATCTAGGCCCACTAGCTTGATATTGCTTCATAGAGCTAGTTGACAGTTGTTCCTTCCAGAAGTCCAAAGAACAATATTGAACTAAAGAAATTTGGATAAATATTTGATTTTACAATGAGAGGTTTACAATTATTTTTGGAGAGGAAATGACATCAATATAACATGATTGAGAAAGAAAGAAGGAAAAAAAATATGAGAGATTAGAAATGAACAAGTATGACATAGTATAATTAGCATGGAAAAAGTGGAGGTGATACAGATCCATTCGCTGTCATCATAGATTGCATCAAAGATTAACAAAAAGTTCTTAGATTTTCATGGATCACAGGTGAACTTAGCATCCTATTTAAGATGATTTCGCATGGCATATTTCGTTTTCCAATGATATTATTTTAGTTGATTGAACTAAAGGGAAAATTTCTAGTGTAGAAATGTGAATAACTGCTTTACAATTTAATGATGTATAATAAACATGAAGAAAATAGATACACAAAATGTAACCTTAGAAAAGCTATGAGAAAAAGTGATAACATTATAAGCAAGAAATAACTAAGGTAATCACTTTCAGTGTTTAAACATGTATCTTATAGAACAAAATATTGGGGAATTAAGAAAAGGAGATGCTTAGCTGAAATGAGTATATTCTGATATGATGATGTTCAAAAAGTTAGTAATAAGAATTAAATGCATTTCTAAGAAGTCTGGGCTTCAATTGAAGATGAAGATGTGCATCATCATTTAATATGGTGTGGACATTTGTAACATAGAGCAATGATAAGTAGAAATATTGATTATGTCTGAAGGCAGACAAGAACAGAGTAACAGACATCAATAGCAGTAGTCATAAAGGCATCAGTTGCGAAAAGTAAGAGGAGATGGCCCTACATAGAGCTGAGTGGAGGTAAACTATTCATGTAACCACTCCAACTGAATACAGGATAATGTTGTTATTCTAATCCATTCTAGTCATAAATAGACGCCCAAGATAATGTTGTTATTCTAATCCATTCTAGTCATAAATAGACGCCCAAGTAATACAAAGTAAAAAAATAGAAAATAGAAAATAAAAGAGTGGAAGATTAATGTCTAATATGTACTGAAGTTATGGAATAAGAAACACACGTTTAATATAAGCATACAGAAGAGAAATCAGAATATAGAAGAAATGAAAGAACCCTGTTAAGAAGCATGCGGAACAATATATTAAACCCTGATAATTACTGTCCTTTATAAGAAGCGTGCAAGCTAAGAAGAAAATTAATCAAAGAAACTCCTTTAAAAACTTACAAGCTTTAAAGGCGGGACGGGTTCTGGGATCGACAACATTAGCATTTCATTCCACACAGGATTTAAACTGCTTTTTATCACCTCTGTTCTCACTGACTGAAGAAACAGTAAGCAAATACGTGCAAATATTTACTAAATGAAACAAAAGTAAGAGATCAGCATTACGAGAAATTATTTTCATCAGTGAGTTCGTCTTACCTGGTGTCCTAATGTTATGATGACATAAGGATCACTACTCACAAGATCCCGGACAACTAGGTTTCTACCCTTTATAGTGTTGACTTTGATCAATCCAATAAACTCAACCATGCCCATCTACAAAGGGATACTTAACATTAGATTCAAACTAGTTAAAACAAAGGGTAAATTACACTTAAATACTCTGTTTTTTTAACCCAATGTTTCACATGAATACCCTCAATTGTAAATGGTTGCACTTAAGTACCATCTAGGTTGCACAGGTACGGGTACGGGTATGGACACGGGTACGGGTACGAGTACGGGACACGACAAATTTGTAAAAAGTAGGGTACGGAGACATGGCTCATATATATATATATATATATATATATAGAGAGAGAGAGAGAGAGAGATATATATTAATGGGTATCCTTGTCATAGGAGGGGATTTCCTCCTATGACGCCTCTAAAATCACATGATTGAGCGACATTGTGGATGGTCCGCTCCGTTGAACTTGATCTACATATTCTAAAACCCCAACACACCAAGTTTGGGGTGAACCCGTCGTCGTTTGACCCTTCATCCACTCGTATCAATTTTAACGGTTTTGAATGAATAGAACTTTTCACATGGCTCGATGGAGGGTCAAACGACGACGGATTCACCCCAAACTTGGTGTGTTGGGGTTTTAGAATATGTAGATCAAGTTCAACGGAGCGGATCATCCACAATGTCGCTCAATCATGTGATACTCGCCTAGCCTCGTCATCGACCTCGCCTGAGCTACCTGACAGATCTCGCCTAGACTGCATTGCCCACGGTCGCTCACCGGAGCTCACCTCACCCGCTCGAGTCGTCGCCTGCGGAGGTTTGTGTCTACACCTACGTTACCTGGACTCGGGTATGAGTATCCGATACGGGTGCGGATCCGAGTGTCCGATACGAAATTTCTAAAAATTTTGGATACGGGGACACCGTCCTAAATTTCGACACGGGTACGAGGATACGACAATAAAAAAAAATAAAAGTTTAATCAACAATTCAGCATGTGAAAGGCTTTGTAACTTTCCAACTTCCATCTTTAACTCTTCATTACATGCAAGCAATTAACAATTATATTAACTACAGCGATTTTACTATGTTTAATTTCAAATTCTCAATAAAATAAGTTCATTCCTTAAAATTATAAAGTAAACTCATTTGAAACTTTTGAATTTATATTCCACATAAGCATCAAAAAAGAATAAATAAATAAATAAATACGTACGTATATACATACATACATATACACTTACCTATTTAAATATGAGAACACATGTCTCCCATTCTTAGTATTGCCATTAATTTTAAAGAAAAGACAAGCAAATAGTCAAGCACCCATTTGAATGGTGATGTCATGTTCCACTAACAAATTTAAAACTAAGGAAATAAGAGAGAGAGTCTTCTTCTTCCTTGCATCTAAACACATTTTCCTCTGCTCCAAACTCCCGTGTCCCTTCCGTTTGGGTGTGGAAACGTACCCAAACCGCACCCGACACAGGTACGGCGCCAAAATTACATGTCGGGGTATCATAGAGTACCATAAAGTTTTTAAAAGTTACACTTTAGTACCCTTGGTTATGCAAACGTGAGAATTTCCCTATGACAATTCTCATACGACCCTCACATGCTATTTTAGAAAATTTAATCCTTATTTTGTTAAACCTATCAACATCCTATTTTAAACCTACCCCAGTTCATCTTTAAAATAGGAATTTGATAGGTATAACAGCAAAATTAACAAATAGTAAGAGTTAAAATGTTCTAAAATTAGCATGTGAGTGTCGCATTGAAAATCCTCACGTTTGCATAACCGAGGTTACCAAAGTGCATTTTGTAGAACCTTTAGGGTACTTAAGCGTAGCCATTTACAACTGAGGGTATTTATGTGAAACATTGGGTAAACAATAGGGTATTTAAGTGCAATTCACCCTAAAAACCGTCATTACGACACATAATAAGTATCAAATATGAACATATAAGATCAAAGGTGACATACTGTTTTCTTTATACTCCTCTGCTCGGAGTCATTTCTTCTCCAACTATTCCGGAGTGCTTGCCGGATTCCAGTATGTTGTTTCCCAAATTGTCTGGAACTGGAGAGATTTTTCTGCGTGGAGCTGACACTTGCAATCTGCAAGTCTGAGTTTAGAAATTCTTGCAGCTCATATTTTCTCCTGAATGTTCAAGAAGTTTCACATATATTTAGAATATTCCAAAATTTTCATTAAAGATTAATGACAGGAAGTATTAAGGTTGTACCTGATAAAATCAGAGCGCTCCTCAATTGGAGAGTCTGGCTTTAGCTTGTTTACATTTTCAGGAATAAAAGCTTCATAGTTTGCATTTATGGCATCATTCCCTCCCGCATTAATCACAGAATCAACCTGTTCATCTGTCCACTCATCTAGTTTCACGGATAATACCTACGACAAAAGGCCATTGTCAGACTCCTGGTTGGATGTGATGCCAGTATGTACCAGGATCATGGATCATTTGAATTTTTCATGCATGCTCTTTGATGGTAATTGCCATGTTGTAATTAGATAACTATCCTGTTCTCTCAACTATGACATTTCTCAGCTTCTTTCATTCGAATTAGAACTACTTCAGGTTCATGCTACCCCTTTTGAAGGTAAAAAATGCAGAATGGGATCTTATATTTGATTTATTTAGCATAATTTGAGGTGATTTTGGCTTTCTTGGTCATGAAGATTCTGGAAAGTGGTTCTGCTTAATGCTCTCCAACGAGAGAGCATATTATATGCCCAAAATTTTGCTAGAGCCTAGAAGGCCCCTAAAAGAGATGGATAAAGCTAATCTACTTGGACCCAAATTGACTCAAGGGATAGATCTTGTTTGAGTCATGAGTCCAATCATATTTAACCATATATCCATCTAATTGTTTTACCAATGTGGGACTAAATTCCACCCCATGACTTTTTCTAACCAAGCTCACACTTGTGCTTGAACTGAATAGAGGTGTGGCACTCCCAAGTCCTAACAATTTCCATTTCTGAAATGTATCTCAATCTTTTCCTATCTGATGAATATCATGTGTCATATGTATAGACATTTGAATTTCTGTGAAACTAAACAGTTAAGATGCCATGATAAGCTGACACCTTATCAAGCGTGCAAGTATAAAACAGAAAAGAATATATGTTCATCGGCGAGCAATCAAAAATTTCCAACTAAGATAATCAGCACAATTAGTAAGCAATCAATGTAATTGCTAATTGAAAAACGAAAAGGTTACTGTTTAGTGAATACCTTTGATATATGAACTCCAAGACTTCTATGAACACCTGAGCACTTGATACAAATGAATACTCCAAGACTCGATGACCTGATTTTAGCCATTTGGTTATTTGATGTGGAGTATAAAACACCAACTTACAAATAAATTGTGTTCTCTGACATGGTTTTGGATGTCCAAATTCTCAAGTATAATGGAAAAAAAATTGACATCGTATCAAGAACATGAATAGTGAAATCTTCAAAGTAGATATACTTTGCTTTTTATGTATATTTATTATCTTCTGTATACTGATACTAATGCAAGAAGTTCACTAGTAGCAAGGTTTCACTGCATATTTACATACATATTTGCACCAGTGAAATTCACCACAAGCAGAAAAAATTCATCAAGCTTGACCATCACTTAACTTACCGTCCGGCACTATATAACCACTTCCTGTCACAGTGATTCTTCAAGCACTAAATGGTTGGTTTATTCACATGATTTGCTATTGCAGTGACATGCTTGTAAAATTTAGTCCCATTTCCCATGAATTAACTTGGAATGTGAATCAAGACAAGAGTGTAACCAGGGGGCAGCAGGGGATACTCAATCCAACCCCCCAACCCCCCAACCCCCAACCCCACCCAAATGTTCACAGTCTTACATCCTTTATATGGACCCCAATCCAAGAAATCAGCTTTCCTTTAAACGTGATCTTTCTCTTTCTTGTTTTTATACCTACTTTCTGAAGTTCTAAATATTTACCAAGACTGTGGCACTAAATGATTATCTTCTCCTTATAATACTATTATCATCACCATCATCATTATTATTACTACCATCATCCCATCATTTCCAAGAGCCCATCACAATTATTACTGTTACTTAAAATGATAGGTTAAATGATATGAATCACATAAATATATTCCTATACTTACTATTTAAAGTAAGTTACATATCTGAGTTGTAACTAAGATTAGATCTGCCAACTATCTTTGCAGCTACTCCGACTATGTTAATTGGATGCCATGTTATTATTATGACAGTCATGGTCTCTTCACGTCATAAATTAGAGTCATGGGTGATCTTCACATCATAAATTAGGTACGACATTTTCTCCAAAAGAAGAATCACAACTTAAGTTTTAGCTCCTTTACTGGTCTTTCCTTTATAAATTGTTTTCTCATTGTTGTGGGTCTAGATGACACTTTGTACCTGTTCAGCCCTTGAAGCATTTTCACTATCCTTTTTAATCTTGCGGGCCATTGAACTTTTATTATTTATTCCAATCGCAGGATTGTCCTAGATACATGATGAAATGTTATCGAGATTGATAAAGGAAACAGCCAATGAAAAGGAAGAAATTGCAAATAGCTAGACTAGAATAAAGCAAGACAACTGACCTCGACAACAAATACTGAAGGAGGCAGTATTCTGATGGAAGAAACTTGAATATTTTGCAAAAGGAACTCAGCACTGATTCTTTCAGTATTGCAGAATATGGATCCAACACTCAGTCATGTCACATCCTAAGTTGATTAGGTTCTGAAAAATTCCATCATTAGTCCTAATTCTTCAGATTTACGTTGAGTTTAACTCAAAGTAAGGTTATGACCTC